TCTTTCTAAACCTGATCCAATACAATCTGCCTAATGTCCTGCCTAATGCCTTTGCAATTCATCTAATAGACTGGCACAGATGTGAACCTGTGTTACATTGTTTCCTGTCTAGCAATTAAAAATGTAAAAATAAAAAAATTAATGCTAGAACCTCTGGCTCATCGGTTTTTGCTTGAGCCTACATTTTCTAATGAGGGTATAGCTCTAAAACTGAGTTAATGGTTCTGAGGCTGGCTGGTAATAAGGTAATAAAGTTTTTTGAAATCTGTGGTAGCTCTCAGAGAGGCTGATTCCAGTAACAGCTGTAAAATATCAGAGTATTTGCAGTGTTATAATGTACATGGATGGTGTCCCTGTTAGTGCTTTTGGCCTGCATTTTTGAAGCCACCTAAGCAGCCCTTTATAACTTTATTTTATTTAGCAAGACTGAGGCAAATACATAGTTCATTGCTTGAGGTACCATGTTCTATCAAGGTACCATGTTCTATTGAGGTACCATATTCTATCAAGGTACCATGTTCTATCTATGATCGAGCCAAGTTCACTTTAAATGGCCAAAGTACTCAAAAATATTAAACGTAAAAAATGATCACTAACACCTAACTTCAATTTATTTTTTACAATTATTGATGGTCTTCGAATTATTTCTTCATCAGTTAAACCTTACTTCACCAGATTTATTTTTAGAGTTAACTTTTTAAATCATTTTTCTGACAACTTTAGTTACTTACCTTCACTCCTTGATTTTTGTCTTGTATCTGACCTAGCTTGTGTTCAGGTTCTTATGTTTAATTCCTCCTTGTTCTCCTTTAGGTGGTTCTGACCATGTAATGATCTCTAAAAATCTTTTATCTGATACTTTTTTAAATTTACCCTATCATTGCACTATTTGCTACTAAACTAAGCTGATTGAGATTCTTTTTCATGGTTTTCTTTGTGATTTATTGTTAGATATCCAAATCACTTCAGCTTTTATTGCTAATCCAAATCACTTCAGCTTTTATTGCTAATCCAAATCACTTCAGCTTTTATTGCTAATCCAAATCACTTCAGCTTTTATTGCTAATGTGATTACTCTATTAAACTTTTCTACAGCTTGTGATCCTGACAACATTCCTGTCATAGTCTTACAAAAGTGTTTCCCAGAACTCTCTTCAACTCTCTATAAACTTTTTAATCATTGCTCAACTGAATCTTATCTTCTTGCCTGCTGAAAAATGCCGTGGTTATAATTTTCTAAAACTCTGGAGACCACTCTGACCTAGAGAGTGACTGGGATTCCAGCCCTGGCTAAAACTGGGATTTTTTTACAAACCTGACCCCAGCAAAATTGTAAGATTTAACAGAGGTTGATAGCCTGGGCTACTAAAAACTTTATAATACATCATGTATTATTAAATTTATGCATGCATTTACTATTTATAAAATACTATTGTTTTTTTAAACTAATTCACTTCCGAGCAACCATTATAAAGTTATGAGTTACTAGGAAACAAAGGCTTTCCTAGCAACTCATTTCCTCAGGCTTGGCAGATAAAGCAGGTCCAGCTACATTTACAATTTATTTTGGAATTCGTAATATTATAATATTCGTAATATATTGGACTTTGTCTAAGAGTAAGAGGGTTGTTATTTGTCAAAAATGTCAGCAATATTGTAAATAACTAAGTTTTGTTGGAGTTAAAATCTACAAAAAAGTTTCAGATTGTTATTGTAGATAAGAAACAATAAAGGAGCAAAAATAGAACCTTGTGGTACCCCTAAAGTTACTTTAAATAAAGAAAAGTGTAGGGTTTCAAGAATAACTTTAATATTGCAATTAGAAAGTAATCTCAAATCTAATAATCTCAAATTTGCCAGAAACATTATTTTATACTTATTACTTATACTTATTACTTATACATAGTATATAAGTATTTTATCAAAATTATACTTATTAAATATACTTATATATAGAGATACTTTTAACCAATTGTTTGTGGTTAGTATGTTTTTCTATTCATTTCGGTTAAGGTTAAGCTGATCTAAAGCTATAGGTTATTTAGTGAGGGTTGTTTGTACAATAAGTATTGTATGCAAGATTTTTAAATCTTGTGAAGCTGGTCAACAGGAGATGTCATTATAGTAGATGTCATTAGCTGGAGTGAGTATGTTTGACTAGTTTTACCTTAAACTTTATATATCACTAGAATTTATTTTTTGAATAAAACACAAATATTTTATTGTTATTAGCATAAAGTAATTGATAGTTATTTATGAAGTATAATGTCAGTCAAATCTTTCACTTTGCTGACATAAAACAATGCTTATAGCAAATTTTTCTGTAATCTTTTTTTATAAGTTAGTTAGTTAAGTCACAGCATCATCAAACCCATTATCAGCTAAGCATATCTACCCAACTTGATGTCAAAACATATTTTTCTGCACATCTGCTAGGAAGTGACCGGGGCCCCGGCCGCAGCTAAAAATGAGACTTTTTTTAAACTCGGTTCAGCAAAGTTATAAGATTTAGCAGGGGTTGATAGCCGGGGCTAAAAAAAAATTTGTAATACTTTTTCTATTACAAATTATTCTTACATTTACTATTTATTAAATATTGGCATTATTATATATATATTTATATATATTTATATATATTTTTAAACTCTAATTTACTTCTAACAAGATAGCAAGCAACCACTATTAAGTTATGAGTTACTTTAAAATGTATAGGATAGGTAAAAATACTAGGAAACAGTTAACTGAAGGCTTAAAAAGTTGTAGGTTATATAAATAAGAAATCATGAAGATGGCTAAGGTTTTTTTGATGTGCAAGAAAAAAAACTGGATTAATAAAAATTTTTATAGCATGAAGGGACAGATTTACTAAAAGGATGCAACTTGTTGAATAAGAAACCAAGTAAGAATGAGTTTTGGTTTATTGTAATAGAGATGATACCTCATTTGAACATTGACCATGATAATACAACCTTACAACATTACAACAATTGGAGAGTGACTCAAACTTAGCAGATAAAGCAGGTCTAATTACATATACAATGTGCTTTTAGACTTTGTCTGAGAGTAAGAGGGTTATTATTTGTCAATATAGGAATGCCAACGATATTGCAATATTTTTTGCAGCAAATGAGTTTTATTGTCAACAAAAATTGTAAATTTAAAGTCCAGAATTTAAATCCACAAGCCACTGCAAGCCTTAGGTTGTTACAGAAGATCAGATTAAAAACTGGCAGCTTATTCTAAAAGATCAAAAGGTGAAGATTTTTTGTCAAGACAAGATTATAAAGTTGAGTCATCAGCAAATAGAACGGCTTTAGATTTAAAGTTTTCAGATTGTTATTGTTAATAAGAAACAATACCTAAGATAGAACCTTGTTGTACCCCTAAAGTTACTTTAAATAAAGAAGAGTGTAGGACTTCAAGAATAACTTTAATATTGCAATTAAAAAGAAATAATAATCTCAAAAACTTTATATAAAGAAACTAATAATAGAGTGAAGACTAATTGTAGGATAGCTAGAGAGGTCAAAGTGTTTTCTAAAGTTTTTAAAAATTGGAACCACTTATTTAGTACTTTTTAAAAGTTTAGCGAAAATTGAAGAAAGTTCTGGAAAACACTTTTTTAAGACTATAATGGAAATCTTGTCTGGAACACAAACTGTAGAAGTGTTTTATTGAGAATTGACTTTAGCATTGGAAACCAGAGTGATTTGGATGTTTAACAATCTGTTAATCTGTTTAACTGGCAGAAAGAGTATAGTCATTAGATTTAAGAGTAAAAAATTTGAGTAAAATGAGGCTTAACTTAAAAATTATGAGAAGGAATAAAAGCTTCCAAACTTTTATTTTAGAAGGAAGTTCCAAGATGTGCTTTATGCATACATATTATGAATATAAACATATATATATTTGCTATTTATTTAGATGCTGAGATATATTTTTTCATATTTATATAAACTTTTGTATTTATATGGTGTAGTGTTTGCCGAAAGAGTAAATGATCAAATGGATGTGTGAAGTGACTCTAACAAAACAAGAAAAGCAGGCATAATCTTAGACAGATTAGTAAAAAACGTTGCACCGAATAACGTTTTTAGAGAAGATTAAAGTGATTTAGATATCAGCATCTAGAAAGGTAGCAACTTCAGGAGAAAATTGTAGTTGTTAAAAAAAAAAACTTGAAGATAGTGCCTTACATATTGTACGAATGAGCTTTAGTTAACAAAAGAAAATGCTCTAGATAGTTTATATTAGAAACTGGATAAAGAAGGAAGACTAAAACCTGATGATGCTGTTGCTGCTGCTGATGATGATGCTGCTGATGATGATGCTGCTGCTGATGATGCTGCTGCTGCTAATGATGATGCTGCTGATGATGATGATGCTGCTGCTGCTGATGATGATGATGATGATGATGATGATGATGATGATGATGATGATGATGATGATGATGATGATGTGATGATGATAATGATGATGATGATGATGATGATCATCATCATCATCATCATCATCATGTTGATCATAATGGTGTTTATATATCCATATATATACAAAATATAACAAATTTTGAATTTAAAAAAAAACAACTTAAGGATGTATAAATATTTATGCAGCCCCAGTCACAAACCCGACCATCTATATTTTATCAAACCCGTCCCCAGTCTAATATCAGCACCGGTTGTTTACTAACAGCAGCTTTGTTCAACACAGTTCATGTTTTGGGTTTTAAGTTTTGGGTTGGCAGAGAGTTTAAAATAAAATAAAGATACTGCTTGACATTATTACTTTGGCGAAGTGGACTTAAGGGCTACACCTTTGTCACTGAAAAATATGTAATTTTATTACTTAGTGGTAAAATAGATAGAAAACCAATTATATTTCTATAAAAATATGATTAACTTTTTATTACAGATGTTATTTTTTAATGTAAATCTTAATAAAATATACTAATGAAAAGTTTTAATAAAAATTATTTTAAAATTTTTTTAATGTAATAGGTTAACAATTGGATTTTCAATTTCTATCGCCTTGTTTATTTTTGAGATGTTAAGCTTCCTTTCTGGTGTTTCAATGTTTCATAGTTCTGTTGCAATGATATGTATCTTTTCTTTTAGACTAGTTTTTTTGGTAAGCAATATCTTATATATATATATATATATATATATATATATATATATATATATATATATATATATATATATATATATATCCTTATAGTGTAGTCGAAAGAGTCTTTTAATGTAAAAAAAGTCTCTTTTGACTACAATTTTAATTACCTCGTCTCTTAAGCTGTGTTTGATTGCCATCGAAATGTCAAAGCAATTAAATTAATGTGGAAGTACATTAAATTTTATTGTTTTTTAAAAAAATTTTAAAAAACCGCAATAATAACGACTAGAAAGTTTTTTTTAATTAGTGGTGTTTTTGTTTTTGTTTTATTAAAAAACATTTTTAAAACATGCGTAAATGTTGCTACATCGACTATCTTATAGCCTGCTGCTACAAGGGAGTGTTTCTACATCGACTATCTTATAGCCTGACTCGCAACAGAGTGCTGCTACATCGACTGACAAATAGCCTGTCTCACAAGGGATTGCTGCTACATCGACTGACAAATAGCCTGACTCGCAAGTGAGTGCTGCTACAACAACTGACAAATAGCCTGACTCGCAAGGGAGTGCTGCTACATCGACTGAGGGTTTGGTTTGGGCAGGCAGTCTATCATTTAAAAAAAAAAAAATTCAAGTTTTTAAACTTTTTCTGGTCTGGTTTATTAAAGCGCTCTTTAAAACTACAGTTTATGGGAAACTCTTTTTAACTACTATGCAAGAGTATATATATATATATATATATATATATATATATATATATATATATATATATATATATATATATATATATATATATATATATATATATTGTCATACTTACCATATGTAAGCAAACATACATACACAGAGTTCTAATCCATAAAAATTGGTTTTTATAAAAAGTTTAAACTTTATTTTATAATTTCAACTTATCTCATTTGATCGCATTTAGGGAATGGCAATCCCGGGATTTCGTACAAATTATTTATCCCGAAATTCGTACAAATTGTTATCCCGAAAAAAAATTTAAGTGCTTGCTGGTAAAAAGTGCAAGAATTTTTTATACATTAATTTAATTTTGAATTTTCTGCTTCCAAAAGTATGCGCGATTTTATTTCCATTTTTATATCCATTCATTTTAATTTTCAAATGTGTGATTTATGAAAATGCGTGATTTACGAAAGTTTTCTTTAACGTTGTGCATATTTATATTATTTTTTAATATTTATTTTTATTCATACTGTATTACCATTTTAAGGTATTGTTTTATAATTTATAATACTTTGGTTTATTAATTTTTAAAAGTCTTAGATAAGTTTCATTAAAAAATTTTAGAGGTTCATTAATGTATTAAATATTTTAGTTATTAAATTAATAATTTTAATAATCATTAAATTAATCATTTTTAAGTGTTGGATGAGTGCTTTAAAAGTGTTCAATTGCTTTCGGGTTTTTTTCTATTCAATCCCAGGATTTCCTGGGATTTCCCAGGGACAAATTTCTCAATCCCAAAATCCCGGAATTGAAAATTTCGGGGATTTTTGCCATCCCTAATCACATTTCAGTACATAGAATATATTCAAAATTACAGTGCACATGGAAAAGTAAAAATATATTCCTTGTTTAGGGGCTGTCCATAAATGATGTCAGTGATTTTTCTTGATTTTTTCACTCCCCTCCAATCCAACATTGGTCTTGTAATAAAAGTTTCCTTCTGAGCTCTGATTGCTCTGTATTAATATATTCTGCAACGGTTAGATAACCGTCAATTTTTAGGTCAGACCAAATATCTGCTAAAGCTTGTTCAGCATAACCAAAGTTTTTTTTTTTATAAATCTTCATCTATTTTCCTGCCTGATTTAAAAAGATATATTGGTTATTATATGTTTAAAATTATTTTATATATTATGAATTAACTTTTGTCAATGAATATTTGTAATTATCTTAAAAATCAAGATGAGTTTGTAATGCTCGTGTGGAAGGCAAAAAACATGTTTTGACATGTTTTTTGCCTTCTGATGTTTCATAACTTCTTGGAAGTAGGCGAATGTAGAGAGCACTCTTGCCAGGGTTGACACCCAAAAACCCAAACCCACATAAAAACCCACCCAAAAACCCAAGAGCAAAAACCCACTAAAAACCCAACTTAATGGGTTTTTGTATTTATAATATTTTTTTTCATAAATTAATTTCCATTCACACTCAAGATTTAATGCTGCTCAAAAATTGTTATAAAAACAAGAATTTTAGTGAATCATAAATGAGATTTTATTTTATTTGGAGTAGAAATATTCAAACTTAAAGTTTTAAAACAAAGTTATCTAACAATGTAATCATCAGCAATTGTTCATCTTGACCTTAATGTTTGTAAATTCGTACAAGCATTTTTGCTTTTCCTCTTCCTAAAAGATTCCTAATTTTCCTAAATATCTTGATTTCTAAATCAGACTTCATTTAACCATTCCTCAGTTGACTTCTATCCAAGGTTCTTTCATTCTTCAGCCATTCCTCAGCTTCTTCTTGACTTCTATCCAAGGTGCTTTCTAGATAAATAGAAAACTTTTTATCAGTATTTATTTTAATTTGATCAGATGCAAGTTTTTAATTTTTTTACAATTTTATAGTTACCTTTACATTTTACAGTCGTATGACAATTTATTATGGCCACCTACATTTTTTCTAGAAACTCTAGAAAAATTGTGATTTTCCATCAGTTTTTACAATTTTATCTACCAAAGACGTATTCTAATAAAAAATCAGGTTGTGTGTTAATAAAAAATTACCATTTTGTAAGAATAAATACACTTTAATAAAAAATATTCATATAATATCTTAGTTACAATCAATATTTTGTCACCCCTCTTTTGCATCGATTACTGCCTGTACCCTTTTAGGCATGCTTTTTATGCAGTTTTCTGCCATTTCCTTCAATCTTGCATTGCGGTTCCAATGTTTTATAATACTTTCTATTAGAACCACCTTGTTTGTAATATTTTCCTTGGCCACCTCCTTTTTTAATAGCTCCCAAACATTCTCTATAGGATTGAGATCCGGCGAATTTCCCGGCCAGTCCAACAAAGGAATATTTTTATCTTTCAAAAAGATTTTGATAGACTTAGCCGTATGGCATGGTGCTCCATCTTGCATGAATGTTTTGTTTTCCTCTGGACCAAACCATTTCGTCAATTGGGGTAACAATCTTTGTTCCAGGACATTTTTATACTGCACCTGGTTGATTATCCCTTGAACAATGTACAGTCTTCCCATTCCTTTCCCACAAATAACCGACCAAATCGTCACCGAGGTTGGATGTTTGACGGTTTGAATAATACAGCTACTTAAATATTTCTCTCCAACCTTCCTTTTCACGTATTGTGCTTTTTTTGATAAGACTTGGAACATGCTCTCATCACTAAAGCAAACCTAAAAATATTATACGATGGTTCATTGACCACAATGCATGGATTATCTAAAAAACTTAAAGTATTAATAAAATAATCTGTTATACCGTTTTCCAATCGTCTTCAGTCCAATTTCTATATTTTTTTGCCCATTCTAATTGCTTCTCCATCATTTTTGGCACTAATTTTGGCTTTTTAGCCGGACGTCTTGAGCTGTAGCCAAGATCGTGTAGACGACGCTGAACCGTTATCTTGGACATCTTAATACCAGAGCTCTCCAACTTCTCAGTGATATCATCATTTGATGCTAGCCTATCTTCCAATACTATTTTGGTAAGAATTCTTTCACCTCGTGGAGTAAGAATTCTTTTTTTACCACAGTTCCCAGTCCTTTTTGGAGTTAGGTTTTCCATGTTGACAATTTTGTTTTGGATATTTTGCACTGACACTCTAGAAACATTACATCCTTCTGGCGATTCCTCTTTGGGAAAAACCAGTATTTGTAAGAAGTGCTTGGATTTCACTATTTTTTTCTAGAGATAAGTCCTTTTTTTTAGTATGAAAATTTCTATTATTACTTAAAATAATTTTAATCACAAAATACTGAGTGAAATAAAAATATTTTTATGTTAATTAATTGAATGTAATATTTTTAAAATAATATTAGTCGATTTGAGTACTTACTTTAATGATAACTTTGAAAAATATACCAAAACTAACAGAGAGTATTCACCACGTGCACTGTAAGAATAGCGGTCTCAAGATGGCGTCACACAAAATGGCTGTCAAAAATGACAGTGTTTACACCAGCATAAAATTTTAAATAATTTTGTCAACGAATAACTATATTGTATGCATCCAAATAAATTAAATTATATAATTTTGAACTATAATGCCAAGAAAACAAAAGATAAGCAAGGTATGTTAAAATTTATTGGGTGGCCATAATAAATTGTCATACGACTGTAGATATGTTAAATTGACCAGAAAATGATATGGAACAATTTTTTTCTTAAACTAATCATCTTTGTATCAACTTGGATACTGAGCAATTATAAAATCATTACTAAATGTACTTCAATCATCTTGAACAACACAATCATCATGAAGATCACATTTTATTATATTAATTATTTCTTCGTTTACCTTTACTAAGAGTTCTGAAGATATCTGTTTTCTATTCTATTGGTCGTCAAGTCAAGTTTTTCTACTATGTCGAATGGTAAAAAAAGAAACCTTTTAACCTGCAAATCCAGTTTATTTTTCTGATTACTTGTTGTTGAAGTAACAAATTTAGAAACGGATGTTTGCCGTTGCTTTGTCATTGTAGTTAAATGAACAATTAGCGATGATTTACTAATAAAGCTAAAGTAATCTTGATCATTATCTTCTGACTTGTTTGATGCTGCAGATGTAGATGGTCTTGACTCTAAAACTGATGTATCGCTAAATACTTCTGCGGAATTCTTAGCGTTTCCTTTTTTCTTACTTCTGAATTTATCAAAATGGATATCTTAACTCTCACTACTTTTTAAATTACGCTCTCTTTGCAATGATTACATATATAATCTACTTGGTTAATCACTTAATATGGTCACTTCGTTCTA